ATACAAACACAAAGATTCTTTTTTTCTCTTTCTTTTGATGACAAAAAAGGTAGGAAACTATTCTACAATTGCAACAACAGATTGTGCTTTAGTAACAAGACTACTGGGCAGTGTCATTAGATTGGGTAACAGTTTCATTCATACCATTTTTTTTTATGAGGATAATTTATATTTACTTCCTGAAAAATAGTTCGTAAACAATACATTTTTTTAATCAACAACTTGATTGTGATTTTTGTTACCAAAACGATTCATTTATTATCACGATGTTTTTTTCTTTATCTAAGATGGCGTATGAGAACTATTTTTTATGTCCTTAACAATTTTTTAGCAACTGAAAATGGAAATGAAAATACTGTGTCTGCTCTCGGAGGTGCACATAAACCAAAAAAATGCATATATTGATAAGTAAATCATAGACACGCATCTGCGATTCATGTGAATGCATATATGCAACTAACTAATAAAAAGTAAATACTGTACTTATTTTCTGTAGCCCATATTCCATAAACTGAAAAAAACTATGACACTTTTTGTTCACATTTCATTGCAAACAAAATGGTTGAGTATTTGAAATAGAAACTTCTTAATCCATACACATGCAATATCTTCCTCAAATTTCTACAGGAAGGTTTTTAGATGCAAGAAAATCTATTTTGAAGATAAATTAAGTAACTATATCACTGTTTTGATCTATGGAAAGCGACAAAAGCAGATGATTTGCTTGAAAAGACTGATACTTCCTAAAAAACATTGCTGAAGACGTCATAAACACGGGGATCAAACGTGGGTTCAGTAGCCAATGGATGTCAAGTTTAAGTTTTCAAAGTGCCAAAGGCTGGACTACATCCACATTCATATTTTGTTTTACTATACTTAAAACCTTTCTTAATTGACAGATAAAAAAAATTCTTCTTTTTCCTTTGTCCAAGTTGCTGATGTGAGTTTGTTTTCCTCTATCAAGCTTGATTGGTTCGCTGTCAAGGTGCTCTTATCTGATTGGCCGAACTCGCCTCCAAAGAATAACAAACTCGTTATCAGGCACCTCTTTGTTTTCTGCCTTTTGTTCATCACCATCATGGCTATTTGACTCTCAAATCATCCTTGGAGACACGTGTCTTTTGTTTTGCTCAATAAGTTTGCAGCTTGAATTCCAGAAGACTAGACTCTTTGTCTGTTCTGTTGTGTGCACGAGTCTGCAGCACTAAGAACGGGGGAGGGTGACTAAAATGGCTATTCACAACAAGTGTTTAATTGCCGATGTGATGCTTATTCACTTCTTCACATTCTTTGTCCTAATTCCCAGAATGTGAAATGCATGAATTCATAAAATGAGTTTTGAGTTTTTCTTTCAACAAAAGTCACTTATGAGTTTGTTCACAGACTGTGTTGTTGCTTGAGTATCAAGTATACACTATTTAACATAAATCAATACAAACCAATAAAAGCTGTATAAATTTGGTGACCATCACCTGCAACAACATATTACCAGTCATGCTAAAATAAAGAACAATTATAGCTTGTAACCTTCAGTTCTTAAATAATTACTTTTTTTTGCATGCATGGGTAGTTCAGTTGCATCATGGAGAATTGCCGTTTCCTAGTGTGTGCACAGATGGCCTCATTGCTTGGAAAGCTGTTGCCTGTGAGGAGGTCACAATGGCAATAGTAGGAACAATACTAAGAATTGGAAATGCTATCATTGCCAACGAGGATCCTTTTTCATTTGGGCTACTTCTAGAATCATTTTTCAAAGTATTTTGATGATGCTGTTCATCACTATGGAAACAGCTGCTTTTTTTAGTCACATGACGTAACAATAAATTGCGATGACCAAGTATTTTGAATATTTTTCCGTATCAACCAGCCAATTGAAAATTAATCTTAAATACTGTTGTTTCCATGGTGCCATCTAATGACATTTTGATCAAGAAGTGGTAGAAAAATCCATCCATTTTTGATCCACAATCAAGAAAATTACAAAATAGGAAAAAAGAACAACTTTTTTTTTATTATGGTAGAAACAAACAAAAAGAAACTCTGGTTACCTTGCCCTTTGTTGGTCTTCTTTGAAAGTGTGACCAATTTTGTCACGCATACAATTATCTCTTTCATTTTATCATGTGCAAAACAGAAGCATGTAATAAACAAACTTGCAAAGATACAATGTATGTAAATATCAAAGCAATCTGACCGTTAGTTTTGAAGAAGAAGTTGAAATAAAAATGACAAAAATAGGAAATTAATAATGATTAAATCCGACGAAGGCCCACCCAAAGTACCTACATACCAAGTATCAAAGCAATCAGGTGGGTAATTTTCAAGATGAAGTTGAAAATATAATTTTTTTTTACCAAAAATTACAAAATATTCTCTAAAAAAAAAAGAGAATCAACGATATCGTCATGAAATGAACAAATGTAAAGAACATACACGTTACAAATCAAACAATTTTTGGTAGTTTTGCAAAAAGAAATTGAAAAAAATCATTTTTTTTTTACAAAAGTGACAAAAATATTAAATGAAATTATCACAAAATGACAACAAGTCAGATAGAGGCCCGCCCGAGGTACCTGACATACAGTATACAAATTGTCTATCCTTCCTAACTCAAAAAGTTAATTACAGAAGCACTATTATCA